CCTGGGCAGGCCAGGCTGCGCTGTGGCCAGGGCCAAGGCTGGGGCCGGGACCGGAGCAGGCTGCGCCGCCACTGCTGCTGCCGCAGGGGCCAGGCCAGGCTGCACCGCCTCCCCGCTGGGCCTGGGCAGGCCGGGCTGTGCTGCTGCCGCCATGGGGGCCGAGCTGGGCCGGGCTGTGCCACCTCCCCGTGTATACGCCGCCATGGGGAATACACGGGTGCGGCGTGTACAGGGACTTATTTACAAAAATACAATTTTCAATGGGTTATATGTGGGTGCGGCTTATACCTGTGGGTGGGGTATATGCGTGAAAATACGGTAATTGAGAGCTTTATTATGAATGTGTCTGATTCTGAAGAATTTGTGAAAAAAATCCAAAAAACAGAGAATGTCATATTTCTGTCTCAGTATCATCCAGGTTAAACACCAAATCTATAGGCATATTAGAAAACTATCACAAAGACAAGATGATACTTAGGCTCCTGTTATATGGTACAGTTAAGACACAATTAAATAGTTAATCACGTCATAAATAGCAACCTGGCAACATGTTCATGAATTAATGGTGCAATAAATCAGGGAATAAGTTGCTATACAAAATACGTGTAATAACTTTGTGGCTGGTTCCCATTGCTCCTTAAATTGAACGTGCAGCCAGGCTGATCAGCTCATCATTGCTTCCAGCCCTTCACTCTAATGGACTCCCAACAGGGTTACCAACTGTCAGTTAAATATCAGGCTAAAATGGCTGTCAGTATAGTTGTTAAAAAATGTAACTATCATTAAAAACAGTAAGCATTTGTAGCATTTTTTAAGCGTCTTGTTTGGAGCGTTGACAGACAGAGCACAGCAGCACCACCTGGTGTTGAAGCAGGAGCCCAGCAACTTGCCATGAGCATTGTCTCAGCAGTGTCTTGCATCTCAGGCTGTTTGTAATACTGCTGGTCATTGTGGGCTTCTTTGTTGGTTTGTGCTGGGATGGGGAAAGAGGGACTGGCGGGGGTAAGGCTGGGGTGGGGCACAAGGAGGCAGTTTGGGAGCATTAGGATGGTGGGTGAGTAGGAGGCCCTGGAATGGGGAAGGGAGCAGCACACTGGAAAACCGTCACTGTAGTCAAGCAGTTTCTTGACAACCCAGACCATTTTTTAACTTTATAGTTTGTTACTAAACTTTTTAAATTGTTTTACTGTGGTGGACGTTAAACTTCTAAATTTGAACCCAGATCTTCAACTGTGTCATGGCAGAAGAGTTACATTTATGTTACATGTAAACATATATCAGTAAAAAAATGTCAATAAGAACATTTGGTGTCAGTAAAAAGCTTGCAGATTTGTCAGTAAAAAAACCAAAAACATAAAAAACCAAAAACAAAACTGGTTTGGCAATGCTGGATCTTGAAGCTGTGAGTGCTAGTCAGATGATAGGCACTACCAGCCCTGGAAGTACATTGGAGTCCTTAACTTCAGTGCTTCCCCAAGGCTGTGCGCGCCAGATAGCAAGCACCAGGCATCCAGTTTGCTACTTGTTGGGGCAGGGGGAGCCTGGGAACATGATCTTGGGCTATCCCTGCACTGGCAATAGGGGATGATCTGATCCTCACTCCCACGATCGTGCCTCTTGCCAGGCATGTGAAGCAGAACAGGAGGTGCAGTTTTTGGGATCATGGATCAAATTCCATCATGTCTTTAACAGTTGTATACTACATGGTACTGGATACTTATCTAGTACATGGGCACATTCCAAGCACTGTACATGCTTATTAATCCTGGTAGCATTCCTACTTTCCATTGCTAAATGTTACCTTATTTTACAGGTGAAGAACCTGAGAAGAAGTCAAGTGACTTCATAAAGTTATGTAGCAAATCAGTGACCAATCCATAATTGGCACAGTCTATTACTTAATGTTTTACCTTCTTCCATCTTTGAGTTTCAAATGTAAATATGTAGATTCTGTGCATCTACTAAATACCTTTCTTTGCAGGTGCAGTAATGATGCTAAACAATTGTTGACTGTTCTCCCACATGTTAGAAGTATACGTGGTGAAAATATGGATTTTCATCACTAATGCCTCCTAACCTAATAATGATCATCGAATAGTGCAGAAGTACTTTTGTCAGCCTACTAAAATACATCTGAGATTTAAAAGAAAAGCAAACCACAATGTCAGTAACCCTAGTTCTTTAGTTGACTAGTTTTCCAGTTAAAACTTTTAATTTCTGCAGATTGAAAACAAGTCAGATAACAGTGTGACTAATAAAATAACCCAAAAACTTTTTTGACTGGGGATGTAAATATCATTAAAAAAATTACCTGTTTAACCTCCTTTTGGCAGAGGGGCAGAGTGATGTGGGTTGCCAGGGCCAGGAGTGATATGCGGGGCTGCCCACTGCCAGCTGGGACTGAAGCCTGTGGCTACAGAAGGCTCCACATATTGAGTATGCGGGAGTGGGCAGGCAGTGGTGCCAGCAGCAGCAGCACAGGGTGGTGGGGTCCCTTGCTTGGTGT